CAAAAAAATTTAGGTCAAAAAATTTGGTCAAGAAATTTTTGGCCCAAAAAATTTTGGTACAAAAATTTTGATCAAAAAAATTTTGGGAAAAAATTTTGGTACAAAAATTTTTGGAAAAAAAATTTTGATCAAAAAATTTTTGGCCCAAAAAATTTTGGTCCAAAAAAATTTGGGAAAAAAAATTTTGGTCAAACAATTTTTGGAAGAAAATTTTTGGTCAGAAAAATTTTGGGAAACAAATTTGGTCAAAAAAATTATGGCCCAAAAATTTTGGTCAAAAAAATTTTGGCCCAAAAAAAGTTTGGTCAAAAAAATTTTTGGAAAATAATTTGGGAGAAAAAATGTTTGGGACATCTGTGGCATATTTAGTAACTTTAGAAAATAAGATGCAGTTTCGACATTTTCACTTATACTGTGCTTAGCTTGGCAGCATTTCACATTTTTCAATAGTTTTCACAAAATTGGAAAATCGCTCCAGTACATAAACAGTCTAAACGCAGAGAAGTTCTTTGAATCATTTAAATCGGGCGCTTAGTTCTCTCAAAAATTGCCATTTTTTTCAACATTTAGCTCTATCTCCGAAACCGCTGGGCTACCTTTGCCAAAAAACTAATAACCACTTTTCCCTGTCATTGCGAACTGAGTGTTTTTGGATCATACAAATCGGATGATCCGTTCTCTCAAAAACTCGATTTCTATTTTCTGCACTCTTTGATTCATATCTCTATAACGGCTGGACCTGCCTTTGCCAAAAACTAATCAGCACATCTCCCTATCAATAGGAATCGAATGTTTTTTTAACCATTCAAATGGGTTGATCCGTGCGCCCGAAAACGTGTACGAAAAAATGCGGACATACAAAACACACACACATCCATTTTTTCTGAGGTATGCCAGTAAAAAGTTCAGAAACTTTCAAAAGGACGAGAAATGCAAAAATTTTCATTTTCGATTTTCGGCCCATTACTATAACTACCCTACGGGAAGTTAACAAATAAAGAAAGTGTTTGAAGAAAGAAATCAACTGAGCATGATTCTGAAAAGAAAAGGAAACTGGATTGGACTCATTCTGCAAAATGAATGCCTTCTACTACACGACGTCGTCGAGGGTAAATAAGACTGAAAGGTTTGGGAAGAAGAAGAATGCACATAATTGACGTCTTAGGCATGAAGAAAAATGCAGGAAAAAATGTGCAAATAAAAAAAATATGGAGCCGCCTTCGGGCAGACTACCATTTATTATCACTATAATAATTGTTGAAATTGCATTATCATATACATGTATTATAATAACAATTTTATTTAAGAAAGTGATTAATTTATAACATATATAATAATATAGTATAGGCAGCTTACAGGCAACGTGTTCTACGACTCTAGTTATTATTGCTCTTGTAGCCTGTGAACAAAAAACATGAAGCTAGTGAGGATCAGGATTATTTCAATACATTATAATATATCAACTCACTTGATCTAGCAGCTTATTCCAAATAAGTATTCGCCCTCGAAAGAACAAGTGATCGATTTTTTTTAGGATTTTCAAAAATATCACAACTAGCTGTAAGTGGAATTCTATCTTAAGGCAATTAAGGCATCGTGCCTTAAAGCAAATTGCTGGAACTTCCCGTACCAAAAAATATTATTTTTTTAAAAACGATTAACATTTGGAAAAAAATTTACTTCGAAAAAATAAGATTTTTGAGAAACTATAAATTGTACAAAAAATTACTTTTTTTTGAAAAAAAAATTTTTTTTTAAATTTTTTTTTGAAAAATAATTTTTTTAAAAAATTTTTTTTTGACATATTTTGGAAGATCTGAACTTTTTTCAAAGCAATCGTACTGCTTTAACTGCATAGAGACAAAGTATAAAGCGCGTAAGCGCCGCGTAGCTGTCTAACGGATAAACATTGATACGGAACCCATAGGAATGTAAACAAAATTTATACTTATTGTTAAAATCTCTATAAAATATCTGATAATTTGATGTGCATATGTCTGATGATCATTTTGACCGCCAAATGCCGTTTTTTTTAGTTTTTTCGTTAGATCTCCGAAACCGCTAGACCTGCCCTTATAAAAATTTGATTAATTCTTCATCTTGTCAATACAAGTATAATGTTTTTTGAAT